GAAGTTTTTTTGCCAGAAAAATGTTGCCTTTTTCACTCAACTTTGATCAATCTTTTGAATAAATGATTTTCATTATTTATATCATCAATTAACTGATTGTTTCAGTGCAACAATTGATAATATTTTTCGGATAAAACTGTAATTTGATAAAAAAAGCAACTGAAACTTGACAGTCTTAACCATTTCTTTTTCAAATGATTAAATCAAAGTTAACTCTTGATTAAACCAATATTGAATCAAAATAATGGGCTGATGATCAATCAACGAAAAGATGAAGAAGAAGAAGAAAAAAATTCAATATTTTTATCATTTTCATCTTGTGTCTTTCATCCATATTTGTCACTCCCTTGGATACTTTCAAGAGTTAACCTAATATGAACTCTTCAGAGTTTCAGTTATTATTATATAAGAAGTTTACCATGAAAACTGATTTATCGGTTCAAGTATTTTCAACTGAAAAGAAGATAAATGAAAAAAAGTAACTCTACAGTAAATAGCACAAGTATATCTGAGCAACAATTTTCAATGAAATTTGTTCACTTGTCCAGATAATAAAATGCCATGAATGAGTTTGAGTCAGGAAAAGCAAGTAAATTAAAAAAGGAGAAATGTTTAAATCTTTTCTTTCCTTTAATCATCATTAAATGTTACCAAATTGAACATTATAATTAACAATTGTTTGATAAATTGACTTTGCGATGTTGAGAGTAAAAAGTTGGTAAAAACTCCCTGAAGCCTTTTAACGCATAAATATTTATATTACATTCAACTAATATCAACACATTAACGTCAATGTTTTGCGTTGCATCCATTTTTATCGTTATCAATCTTTTCTGGCCAATTGCAATATTCACTTTTCCTTTACCTTTGTAAAAGGTGATGAGAAGGATGAGAAAAGATGAAAGAGTGAAATTGGGAGCAACTAAATTAATAAATTGTTAAGTGTTTTCAGACTGTAAATCGTTATTCCAATGATAGATTGAACCTGAGAATCTGATAATGTCGATGTTTTCATTGCCTTTAGGCATTCACTTTTCTGCCTTTACCATTGTACCCATCATGTATTATCATTATTATTATATTTCATTACTTATCATGACTTGAGGAATAAATGCTTGAAATCAATCTGTTTTCTTGTCATCATCTTGGCCATCATTTTGTTTCAATACAAAAATGTCGCTTTCAAATAACAATGATAACATGAAATTAACAGGGAAAAATATCTGTTGGCAAGAAAAGAGCTTTTTCAATGATTCCTTGAAATGAAAACCAACCTTAAAAGTTAAACCTTTTTAACCTGTAATTTTGAGTCACAAAAAAAACTAGCCAATCATTTACATTGGCTAGAAATTTCAAGTTGAATTGTTTGAAATTGATTGTCGAGTTTGTTGAAAAGTTGGAAAATTTTTCTTCCATTCCAAGTATAATTAAGCTTTTCTCATTTCAACATTTTGTGAATAAATTACTTTGACTAAAAGTGTTTTTCTGGTCAATTTAGTGATTCACAATGAAAAAGGTGGATGAGGTAAAGAAAACTGGAAAAGACTGAAGAAGAAGAAAAATGTCTTTTGATGAATAGAGAGTTACATGATGTTGATAGTGTCTTCCATCATTAAGAGAGGTTGCACTTCACTTGCTTTACAAAGATGTTCAAAGGTTCTCTCTTTCCTTACCCTGTTTATGTGTAACAATTTCATGGAAGAATCTGTAATAAAAGTAAAAGTTGTATTATACAGAAAAGAAGAAGAATTCATCTCTTTTACATGGTCTCTCTATCTTGAGCATCTTTTCTCTTCTTCTTCATCTTGTTCTTTTTCTTTTACCTTTTTCTTCTTTTTTATCTTCTTCTTCTTCTTCGTCTTTATTATCATGAAGATCATTACATATGAGAGAGAAAATGTATCGATCTTTTATCCTTGTTGTTACTGTAAAGATCGACCCGAAACCCAGTGACTTGGTTACAGTTTGTTACACACACAAAGTGACCATTAAAAAGAAGACTTTAAATACAAGAAATTGGTCAAGTGACTGATGAAGGTAAAGAGTAAAGTTGAAATGATAATGATGAGGATCAAGTTAAAGTGATGAACAACTTGCAGGATAAACAGTTGAATGTGTGTTTAGATTTACCGAATCAATTTATCTTAATATCAATGTTATCAATCAAATAATAATTTTTAACCTTTTCTCGATTTTGTGATGAAACATTTTTCAAAGCTTCTCATCACCTCATCAAATGCTAATCAGAGCAAACGTAAACATTTAATCTGTCGACTAATCAAATTGTTCAACTTTCCAATTGGTTAATCAACGATGAAACGTTTAAACTCAAATAATAGCAAAAATCATGCGCTTACCTTTACCTTTAAACTCAAACTCCAAGTTATTCAAAACGTGAAAGATAATCTTTTTGTCTCAACATTTCAAATTCAATTATATTCAAAGGTATTCAATGAATAATCCATGAAAGGAATTCAGACGCTAAATGGTTTCCATTGATATTCAAGTTTAAAATGAAATGAGACAAAATCTGTTTGTTTCCAAAATTCAATTTCAATTTTCTCATATTGATTAGGATTAACTTGGTGAAGCAAATGATAAATTGATGAAAATGATGAAAGGCAACTTTTCGTGTTTATTATTGTCACTGTCATTGTTATTGTAACAAATAACTGGTATTAACAACATTGAGACCAAAAATAACAAACAATTGTTAATGTAATAATGATAATAATAATGTAAAAGTAGCTCTAATAATGATGATAATGTTAATAGTTGCCAGCAAATTACCTAGTAACCTTAACTATGTACCAATTATTATGCATGGTTTAACAAAATTAGACCAAAAAAGAGGTAAAAATAACAGAAAAAAAAACTAATAAAATGAAGAATAGATTTTGATAAAATTTTTTCTCTTTTTTTTGTTGACTTTTTTGTCTATTTGTATGTTTCATTATCATTGAAGCCCATTTCATCCATTTATCATGTTCAACTCTACTTGATCATTCTGCACTTTTACCCAACTAATTACTATTTCCTAGCTAAATTAGTGCGCTCTGGCAAGATTGATTAAGGTTCAACATTGTCATTCCCATTACTCAATTGACAATGTTTGTCAATTTTTGGACAATTTTCAACTCTTCATTGTTGCCTTTGATTAACGCAAAAGATGATTTATTGTAAAATTGTCAGTTGATTTTTTAACATTGAAAACTGAGTTTAATTTTTCTTCCTTTTATTGATTGTTCAATTAATGCATTGTAATGAAGAGGAAATGAAGAAACCAGAAAATTAGAAATGAAAAGATTCATCATTTAAGATTAACCAGAAATTGAACATTTAAAAACTGAAAATTCGTGATTCTTTTAAAATGTTCAATTGTCATGAGAAGTAAAAAAATGTAAAACTTGCATGTAAGTTGATAATCAGACTTGAAAGGATAACATTTTCATTTGAAAAGGATGGAAAATTATTGATATAAAAAGTGAAATATTGAATTGAATGGGAAACATGAAGAGATGGAAAAGGTTGAGAGGAGCAAAAAGATGTTACTAGTTGATGAGAATGATGATGGAAGATGGCGGATGATGAGTAAAGACAGGAAAATGATAGAAGCTGTCAAAGGCAGAATTGTTTTACTCAAATATATAAGATTAGATTGAAAGAAATGCGGAAAGAAGAAAATGTTGAATCGTTTTCTTCTCTTCCAGTTATTCACAACTTTTATTTACTTTGAAATAACATTCACATTTTATTAGAGTTATAAGATGAGAATTGTGTTAATCTAATTTTAATAGCATTATGGGTTCCATGGAATCATGAAACTGTTGAAACAACGAGTTTGATTGGCAAGGAATGAACAACAAAATACTGAAATGGGAAAAGTTCAATCATAAATTCAATCTCATCATTATTAGCATTGTTTATCACTTTTACTTTGTCAGTGAATGTTTACAGAAAAACGAAATTGTTTTATCAAAATTATTCTCTTTTTCCCCTGCAAACTCAATTTATTCATTCAGAAATGATGAAATTTCAATATCAATCAGTTTCAAAAGTTGTCAAAGTGTGCAACTTTTGTATTCATTGAAGATTTGCAAATAAAAGCAAAAAATTCTAGACTTGATAATATCGAGTTTGCAAAAGCGTAAAACTTACCAAATTTACAATTGAATTGAAATGAACACAGAAAAGCTTAAAGGTATATTGGGAAAACAAAAGAAAATTTTCATGAAAATTCTCAACTTACTTTTTCTCTCGTTTAATTATCATGACTTGGTGGTCAAGTTGAGACATTTTTTGCTTCCCTTTCAAGGGTAGACTAATTTCCCATGTAAATTAGTTTCTTGAGTGACGGATGAAATTGATGACCTTTCAAGAGTTTAACGAAAAAAATGTTTTCGAAATTTTCCATTTCGTTTTTTCTTCCATGAACTTTCGGTAACGATGTTGAAAAGTTCTTTGCTCGTTTGACTTGAGATAATTATCATTGCATTTTGATTGTTTATACTTTTCTGTTTCATTAGTTTTATTGAACCTTTCCAGTCTAGCCACTTTAACTCCCAGTTACTGGGAGTAAATGTTTATCAAACTGTGTAATGGTGATGAAAGGAAACATTGAGTTGTTATTATCACTTTTGATTATTTAGCATCGTTATCATGAATAGTTATTATTGGAAAAAGTTGAAGACCATTGATAAATGAAGTTTCATGACATGATAAAAGGTTGTATTTAATTCGGATTGAACTATCCTTGTTGCTGTTGAAATGAGAGAAATGTTAGAGAATAGCATTTCTTGGAAACATTTTTCATTTTGTTTCTGTGACAAAATGTTTCACACTTTTCAAAATTTTGTTCATCTCAACATCTTTCACGTTTTCAAGAAAAAAAAGTCAATTTGTCGTTTTCAGCTCAAAATATTGCATTTACAATGCTTTCTATTTTTTTGGTATTTGCATTTTTTCGATTAACTTTTTTCTTTTTCCATTTATCTTTCCAGCCGACTGTCGGAGTTTTAAATGTCATAACACGTATTGCATATCGTATGATCTTATTTGTGATGGAGTTGATCATTGTGGTGATAATAGTGATGAAACAAATCCAACTTTTTGTTTAGGTAAGTTCAAGTAAAAATGTAAAATGAATCAAATTCAGAACCAAGTTTGAATCTGTTTATAATCTAACAAAAGGAAGGTTAACTTCAAAGGATATTGAAATCTAATCATTTTGAAATATTGAGATTCTACAGATTTCATTGTCAATCAATAGTCTTCAATGGAAATGTACTTTTTCCTTAATTCTTTCCTCAAAATCTGGGCAGAATCTAGTAACAATTATAAAATGCTCATGTCCAAGTCTCGTTCAAAAGGACCGAATTGAGATGAAAAACTTTATAATATTTAATAAGTAATTTAGTCCTATGAGTATAGATTTTCAGATCATTTTTTTCTCGTTTTCTAGAAAAATGATTAGTCTATGTAAAAGTTTGAGGTCAAAGATTTAATTCTATGGCAAATTGAACTGCAAGGGATTCAGATTACACGATAAATGATAAATCAGATTTTTCTAAGAATTTAAAATTCTAAGTCAATGATAAACATTAGTCGAAGAAGATACTGGCAATTCTAATGTCTAGATCAAATTTCCTCAAGCATTCAACAATCTTTATTTCACCTTCAAAGTCGACATTCGAAGTATTTTAAGGGTTTGAATTTCGAGGAATCTCGGTCCAACTATCAACATTTTCCTGATCATTTCGGAACAATTTGACATCGATTAGTAGATTATTTTGTTCAATATTGTGTTTTTAATTTTCCAAAACAGTCAACGAACCAATTTAAAGCAAAAAATTTCCTTCTTAATGAAAAAACTGAAAACACGAAGCTCAACAAAATTGCATGAAATTTCGTTGCATTGACAATTAGATTCTCCTTTGTCGTGACGATCACTCCAATTTAACTTTCGATATAATTTTTATTCAAGATGAATCACTTTTTTTGCTGATTACATTTTGTCGCTTCTTTTTTTATTGGTCATCACAACAATATATTCATCTTCATTTCTGTACTATTAATACTGTTAAAAATCAGTCAATGTTCCTGTTCCAATCCCTTACCGCATGATAATCGTTGAAAGATGAAAGGAGGAAGAAGAAGAAGCAAAAACTCCCACAGATTCATTTATCTGAATCAGATTATAACGTTTTGCAGAACAGATCTTTGAAATAACCAAAAAAAACATCTTCCTCTGAAGATCCATTAATATAACGTGACATTAACTTCACAAGGTAAAAAAAGAGTAACAAGATGAAGACTATCATCAATGATGATCTTTGATTATAATAATGCACAATTTGCTGACTTTTTCATCTCAATATTTTCATCGTTTTTCGCGTATCAATTATGATGATCCAAACAAAACTGAACAAATAAATTGTTCCATATCCAATCCTTGATTATCATTAATATCACCATTGATTATTAACGGGATTTAACCGTGAAATAATTGCAACAATTGATCAACCTTCGATTAATCTTTTAATTCCTTTCCTTTTCAGCCGATGAAGAAGAAACTGGATCAATTTTAGGTTTACCGATAACTGTTTTCATTGGCCTAGTAATTACTGTATTCCTTATGTGTCTATCCTGTGTTTTAGGTAAGTTTATTAACCATTTGCTTTAAAATGTCAACCTTGTTTTTTTTTGAATAAACCTTTTGACTTATTTCCAGTTCAATTTATATTCACTTTAATTCAACATTTTCATGTTCACTTGAAAAGGTTCAAGTTGTTAACCTTAAAAAATTAAGAGTCAATTTCATTCGAATCTTAATTTACATGAAAATGTCGAGAGAAGCAAAGGGTTCACTTAACATGATATTACTTTAATATTTTAATCCAATTTAAATTGACAAAATTTTAATTTAACCCAAAAGTTAATAAGAGATGAAAATTTAAATTACATTCTGCTGTTGAATCAATATTGCTATTAATATCACTATCAAATCTGACTGAATTAATTTTTTTTCTCATCATTTCAAGAAGCTGAAATAATCAAGTTTAGCAAATTATCTTTAAAACGTAATATAAATTATGAATCAACATTAAATTATTCAATTGTTGCAATCATTGAAATGTTGAATCAACAAATGAATTGAAAATTGAACTGAAAATTGAAATGCAAAGTCAACAAGGTTTACAATTTCAGTAGCCGAGAGACATTAATTGTTTGTAGGAATGAGTAAAAAATTAATTCTCCTAATTGTATTTTACAGGTTTAGCAATTTATTTGTGTAAACGTGAACAGCAAATGCACCAGCAACATCAAAGGATGACACTTCATCAGGCAACTACACCTATTTTAGCTCATCCCGCTTCATATAATGGTAATTATGAAACCCAAATTATTATGTTTTGGTTAAACCCGAATTTGATTTGGATTTTTGTCTTGTAAGACATTTGGAAATGATATTTGATTATCTTTTGATTAACGTTAAACTTTTTGAAGGAAAAGCTCAATTTGTCCAATGTTGGCTTTGCTTTTGTTTGGGTAAAAAGGAACCAGAAATTTAAAAGGTTTTCTTGTTGAGCAAACAAAATGAAAACAATTTTCAATTTGAGTTGAGAGTTAGTTTGTGATATTTGTTAAAGCCTTTGGAAGCAGAACAAAACAAAACCCAAAAAATGTAGACACAATTTTGATGGGAATTTGGTAATCATCAAACTGGTAAATTGGGAGATTGAGGGAATCACTGGGATTGAATGATGAGTGACCCAATAAACAGTCTTGCATGGACAAAGTAATACAATTGAATGGAAAAATGTTGAATAATAATAAAACAATTGGTTTTGATGTAAGCTTGAGCTTGCTGTCTTTGCGCTTGTAAAAGGCTCAAATAAGATTTACTTGTGATTTGGTGAGACACAAACTTGACTAAACATTATTTATTTATTGAAATACAAAAAAAGTAGGTAAAACTGTTTTGTTGAAACCAAATAAACAACTTGAATGACTTTTTCATCATCATTATCATCATTATCAACATTATCATCCATTTATTCCAATTCATTTTCAATTCAGATTACCTTATGAAGAAAGGTAAACCAGAGTGTGGTTCAAGCAAAAAAACTTTTCCCTCTTTCTTCATATCGATAAAAGTCATGAGAGATGGTTTCACTCACAAGATGAACAAGAATAATATCAGTGATTTTAGTCTTTTTTTCTTGCAAAATATCGATTTTTTGCTTCTCTTTCAGCTTTACTTCAACCCATTTCTTAAACCTTTTGTTTCTTGTCTCGGTGTCTTTGTTTTCCGCCAAAATTCAGAGTCAAGACTATCAATAATAGTAACACTTATCGTTTCAACATGAACTGACTAAATGCTCCAATCTTTGTCAACTTCAATTCAGAAATGTTCACTTTTAGTCTTGATTATTCAATCGCAATTAGTTTTCATTTTCATTCAATCAGAAAATTCAGATTATCCTAAAAATTTTGAAATGAACAGAAACTTATAAAACTATGAAATCAATGATTGGGTTTTGGCAAATCGACATTTCTTTTGGTTATTAATGAGAAAAATTTAGATGTAAATTGTTGCGCCAAATGCTTAGAAACGTTTAGTTGATTTGAAAATTTCTGGTTAAGTTTCAAATTAAAAGCTGAAAGAGTAATTGAAGTTATTCAATGATTTTGTCTGTCCATTCATCTGTTGATTAATCCTGAACTTGTATTGAAACTGTCAAGTTTTACTGAGACTTGTTTGGTAAATCAATATCGAGTTACTGTTTGACTGTATCAATATCAGTTTGAATCAGTTAATCATTGAAAGATAACAATTGAACAATTGTATTACTTGTTTGAAGGATATAAAGATGATGAGAATTATTGTTATTATTAAAGATATTTATATTAAAGAAGCTGCAATGGTTTTCATCTTTATCTTCATCTTCATCATCTTATTGATGTTCATCTTTTGTATTTAATCCGCTTACAGACAATCTCATTTAACTGAAAATTGTGTCTCAACTCAACAGATCCTTTGTTTTCCAGTGCAACATCAATAATGATTGGAAAAATAATAATAATGTTCATCTTTTTGATTCAATAATCCATAACCTGAAGCGTATTTGCCCTTTCTGTTAATTAACTTTTTAAGACCATTTTCAACTTATGATCATGATTTTGATTGAACTGAGAAAGCAATAAGATTCCAGTACAACTTGAAATCAAACTTAAAAAGTATCAATTCATGTATTCCGTCTACAAATAATGAACCGTATAACTTAGTGTATTCAACTTTGATTCACTATTCGATTGTTTTTCACAATGTTCATAGTTCATCATGTCTTTGATTTTGATTATCCTTTGATCAGACACTTTTTGGAAGGAAACTGAACAAATCTCAAATTCTAATTCCTAATTTCAAGTCATTCAATCCAATTAAAGAGCTTATTATTACTTGTTGTTGCAAAAAGTCAATCAAATGTGTTACAATCGACTGTGAAGGTCAAGCGACATGATTCAGAATGAAAGGGTAATGACCAAAAAACGAACCAAAATTATAAAATCTGTCAAAAAATAATCTTTGTCAGATTGTAATCCATGTCAAAATGAATGAAATCACATCTAAATTACAGAAACTAGTCTAGTTAGTCCTTAATAAGCATCAACATCTAATCACTTCCAAAAAATGAATGTTCAACTGCAAGTATTTCTGGTTATCATTTTTTAAAACCTCGTATCAAGACTAAACTTGAAACTCTGACTTCTGATTTCCTTTATCGACTTTTTACTTGAAACTGATTTTAAGGAAAGCTTGATGAAACAGTTAATTACGTTTAAAAAGGAATTAATAATTCCACAATCAGATTGTTGTCATCCTTGCTATTTCATTGATTGGGAAGACAAAAAACTCTTTGCATTTACTCAAAGGATTTGAACCTTGTTTTTAACTTGATCGTTACTTGAAAATCAAATCAAAAAGTATAATTTCATTGATTCAGTCAACAATAAATAAATAATAAAATGACTTTTCTTCCTATCATTTAAATTGCAATAATATTACTTTAAACTTGAATAAATGTAATCCTCAAGTGAAGACAGAAGCCAATAAATTATCATTACTATTGAGCTATTAGTTTAATGATGATGATGATGATAATGTTGATGCTTGGGTAATGTACATTTCAGGTAAATAAAGGAATTGGCAAATATTTTCATCAAAACTAATGATAATATATTAATACAATTCATTTAATTTTTAAAGATGACAATTCTGTCTTCTATTATTGATTGCTTTTTTTCATCATTTCGTTTTTTTCTTGTTGATGACTTTTTCTTGCAGCGAAACCAAATTTCATTATTAGCTATTGCATACCAAATGACATTTGTTACAATTAAGTTGAATTTCATTTTTCTTCCTTTTTTATGATAATTAAAGTGTGAGATGAAATATTATGAGGAAGAAGAAAAATCTGAACATTTTCAGAATAAAACTGATTTTAGTAAACAATTTAATTTGCATTGTAAATGTAAATTTATTCACCTTACAATGTAAATATCATCTTGAATAATTAGTTTCAACATGCGTTAACAAACTAGCCTTACAGACTATTAATTTGGCAAACAACGTTCACTGATATATTAATTGAGTTAAACTATGCCAAGTTGGCTCAAAGGAAACAAACAAGATGAGTAATTAATTAAATTGTGAAACTTTAATTTAAACCGTGATTAATAATCATTTAGAGCAATAGATAGAGCTGTAAGCGTTTCATCTCATTGCGTATCAATCCAATATGAATCCAATCCAATCCAAGTCAAACTACTTTTTAACCGGGAAACCATTTTTGTTTTGTCTTTTGTTTTATTGTTAATCAACTAATTAATTGTTTTGTTTTTTTTGTGTTTCTATTTTTACAGGGACTATGGGCTCAACATTAAGCCCTCCAAGCCAAAGATTTGCCACATTGCCTTTAGAAAAGATGAGGGAAAAACCTCCTCCTTATCCTGGTAATATGTATGCTCCATCGTTGATGAACAACGCAACTAGTAACAATCATATAATAGGCAATTCAACAACACCGGTTCAACAAGTTGTTTATTATTCAACAAAATGACGCTCGATAAAACCATTTTAGCCAATTTTTAATCTAATTAACCAATTATAACAATTACCAGCAGAAGGAAATGTAATGTTAAACCACAAGCAAAAAAAACCAGTAAACCAACAATTTTTATGTGTATTATTACCAATTTACCAGTTGCAAGGAAACAAGAAAGGGAATAAAGAAGGAGCGAAGAGAATGCTTAAAATTAATAATACATAAGCAAAAGCAGTGAATTGCTTTCAAGAACATTCAAAGGAATAAAGCAAGTTCCAACATCCAACATTAAACCAATCAAAGATTCAACCTGGAAAATACACTGGATTGAACTCTGATTTAATGAATGCTTACATCAGCGGTAAATTGGATTGTTTCATGATGGTGTTGAATTTTGTCAATTTCATGGTTAATCGATTTCTTCAATTTTGATTATCCGTTTACCGGACACTTTCTGGTCATCAACCAAACTGTTTAATCTCCCTTCCATCAACTTTAATGGCATCTCAATACACCCAATTTGATACAGATATATATATTATACAAAAAAAACACAAACTCAATGAACTCACAAAATCTTATATAATTTAAAATTGTATTTATATGCATATAAATATATATAAATACTAAGTATATATTAATATGTATATATGTATGTATCATGTAAACGAAGATTTTCCTTATCGTTTTCTCACATTTATTTTATTTGTTGTATGGTTTGTAGTGATCAGAAATGTTAATTGAAAACGAAGGAGTCATTATAATGGAGATAATTACGTGACCCAAAAATATCCATTTTGTATACCCTTAGGACCATTCATCTACATCAATGAAAAAGACAAACTACGACAAATTCATTCTTAAAAAAACTCATGCATCCATGTAAACCCTTTTAATCGTCTAATGCCAATTTCCATGGGAAGGAGAACAAAAAGAAATGATTCCATCTTGAAAAGCTGTTCTTGCTTTACCATCTCTAATCAAACTGATTTACATCATGATGAACATATATCGTAATTTATATGTGTATATAATTACAACTATCCACATTATAAACCTGGATAAATAATTACAAGTGGTCAAGACCAAGGAATGCAAGTCACTTTAGGTGGCCATTGGCCTTTTTTGTATAATCAAGCGAAATCAACAAACCAAAAAACATACCGAAAACAAACCTGAATCCGTCAAAATCTCAATTGAACTGGTTAAATTAAAGCTAGTCAGCCCAATAAGTAAATCTCAAAATAACAATAATCACCAAAATTAACAAAAAAAACATTTTAAAAGAGATTTGATGGTTTTATTACAATTTAAATGCTGTAACCATTTTTTAATTTATCAGAAGCTTTATTTTGGAGTGAAAAACGAGTGATTGAATCATGTTTTTTAGTTGATTTGCGCTTGGTTCTTAACCTTTTGTATTAATTTAGATAATAATTTGCTTTCAAACTACACAATTTATACTTTGCTTTTCCCATAACATTACTTGATTGATTAATTGATCATTTTGTTCATATTCATATTTTGTTTATGAGTTTTCTATTGAATATGAGTATGGAAAAAAGGTGATAATTATGATTATTGTTATTGAAATTAGGTACAGTTAATCTTTATTTTGTGAAACAAAATTATCATTACCGAAAAGATGTTTAACACAGCGAAGTAACAATAAGAAACCAACATTCTAACGAGTAATACCCAAACTTACACTCAACTCTGGCTACAAGTAACCAAATCATTTTGTTTTGTTTTATTTAAAAATCTTGTATAGCCAACACATTCACACCATTCATCTTCATAATTCACGTTCATCAATCAACCGATCTCACCTAATTAATTTAATTTGATTCCTCTGTTTGATCACATTCTATTTATATTATTTACTGTATTAACTTTTTGCATATCAAAAGACCACCAAAGATTTTCATTTTTACTTTTGCCTCTCTTCTGTATTCTTTCCATCCCATCGTACATTTCTTTTGTATTGACTCGACAACAACAAAACATTAAGTTGTAAATAAATTGTTTGAAATTACAATCATTTCTTGTCCCTTAATTGATTATCAGCCATTGTTTCAGCCTCAGTTGTAATCAGCCAAAGTAGGTGAAGAAACGCTTATAAGTCCATAACATTTTCTTTTTTATATATTCTTTTGCCCTTCCAATAGAATTGCAGAGCACAATTTAATAATTAGCTTATAGTTAGGATTTTACAGAAAGAAATAATTATAATAATTAATGATTAAGCTTCAAATTGAAAAAGAATGAAGATTTTTGATTCTGGTTTTACAAAACTCTATTAGATGATGACCCCTGAACCAAAACAAAATTTCATCTGTTTTTGTGTTTTGTGTCAACAAATGAGCTAATTTATCTTTTTCTTGTCATTTAATTGTGATGCTTTCTAATTAACAATCATCTAGTGTCTTATGAATGTGATTTAAAACTATTTTCATATATCATGTTACATAAAACTATATTCAAGCTCAACCTGTGTTATCTTAGAAACAGCTGTCGTCTTTTTTCAAGGCACATTAAGAAATCCAAATTGAAAACAGATTCTAACAATCAATGTCTCATTAAACCTAAACAACTTTGGAAACCTGCCGTTATCACAATTTCGGTAATTAACGAGTATCATAAATAATATCATCTTTTTATGCAGTTGAATGATACTAATAATGTTTCAAATTTTCTTTTCCATTATATTCACTAACTTTACTAGGTTACCGGAGTTTCTTTCGCCTCTGCAATCATCATTGATTATGAGAAACATCGTTTTTCTAAAGATTTATTACCAGAATCATTTCATCAACTTCGTCGAAAATATGAAATCATTAACAGGGTAACTATTTGTCCATAACGATATTTGGTTGTATTCATCTTCATTCGTTGTTCGTTCTAATAATATTGAATCTTTACATTCTTAATCAATCTATTCACAGATTTACCTGACTTGGATTCGACTTAATCCTTGTGAAAAAGTTTTCTTTGGGATATGTGCCTTTAACTTATTAGTTTGTTTTGGTTTAAAAACTATTCCTCATCGTTTGTTTCCTTATTTTGTGAGCCAAGCTCGAACAAGTAATTACCACCTTTTTTCACCCATTTAACGCTTTTGCCATCTAAACAATTAATATTAACATACATCTCCATGTTTCATTTTATTAGAAATGCTTTTGCCTTCAATGATTCTCCACATTTTTAGTCACTCTTCTCTTCTTCATCTTGCCGCTAATATGTACGTCCTCTATAGTTGTCTACCAATGATCAATTATCATCTTGGAACAAGTCAATCTTGGGCACTTTATTTAAGCGCCGGTAAGAATAATAAATTCATTATACTCTCTGTTTATTAATGCATTACTTATTCCTCTCTTTCTGTCCAAGGTGTTTTTGCTTCATTCATTAGTATTGTCCACAAATGCTGTAGAGGCATACATCAGCCCTCCCTTGGAGCTGTAAGTTGTTTCATTATTTTATCATAAGAATCTGAAAAGTGCGAAAATATTCAAGAATATTTGTTTAAACAGCACATTACTGAATTAATAAACTCTTCATCATTTTTTAGTCAGGAGCTATCCTTGGAATCCTAGCAGCTTCTTGTATGATTAATCCTGATGCTAAACTGGGAATATTATTCATCCCCAACTTGTTATTTCCAGCTAAATATGGTATTTGCGGTATAATAGCCTTTGACACAATGGGTATAATCAGGCGTTGGAAATTATTTGACCACGCTGCTCATCTAGGTGGGACGCTTTTTGGAATGTAAGTTTTAATTAATTCAAATTATTGACCACACGATTACCTATCTCATCAACGACTCTTTGTTTTTACAGTTGGTACATAAATTATGGCCAAGAACTAATATGGAGACAGCGAAATCGATTTTTACGATCGTATGTGGAACTCAAAAAACGCTTTTGATTTCTAATTTATTTGTAAATATTTAAAATGCACCTGATCAGTTGCAATAGATGTGATAATCTTTTCATGTGAAAGTTACGAATCAGCTTTTCCACAAAAAATAAACAGATTCTATTCACACTTCACAAATTCTTTGCTTATTTGACTTAGTCGATAAACTATTGACCATTGTATTGTAAAATTTACATTAATGAATTTTTTAATGGATATGATCGAAAAACAGATTGGAAAGTGAAAGTGGAGAATTACGCTGAGTTTTGGCGTCAATATTTTTTGCAAGATAAAAGAAGTTTTTATGAGTTAAATGTTAATCCAATTTGAAAATTTTCATTTTCAAGTTTTAACAACCTCGAATAAATTATGATATCCAACATAATCATTAACTGTTTCTTATTTTTTTTGTTCAAAATATAAATAATTGAATTATTGATCTCCTGGGTACGCAAGAACTTGCTTCAAACCTTCTTGGTGTTGAGTATTCAATGATTCTACGCATCTTTGGAAAAGCAGTGCATCATTCTAATAGAAAAAAAAGTTGAAATTAATAATCGGTTTGCAAACAAAAAGTTTCTGTTAAAAAAATCACCTTTAGAGAGTTCATTAAAGCTATAATTTTTTGTCCAACATCAGAAGACAATGTAATAGCATTTCGGGCTAATACTTCCATAAATATATAAACTATTCTAGGAAGATTGGAATTGTTTTCGCCCATGATGATTGGGTGATTACTGTTGATGAATAGAAGAAAATGGTAATTAACAATTAACAAGGTCAATTTTTTAAAAATGCTTACTGTTCGATAAGATATAGAAGAAATCCATAGACATGAGGCAATTCTTCTTCATCTTCCCAAACGGGTAACCAGGAAAACCAAAGTGGTAATAGTTCATTTACATTAACCTGAGAAAAAATGCGTAAATTAAACAGAGTTAATCCAATAACAACATTAATCATTAGTTTACAACACAACTTACTTGACTGCTATTAAATTGAAGTATCTTGGTTATAGCAGCGATTGCGTTTTCAGTTGCGTTAATGTTTGGAGCTTCTCGTGCATCAGGAGCTTGAATCATTTGCGTCAAAATAGGTACACAAACTACAACAAAAGAAATGAATACATTTTAAATGATTGAAATTCATCTTAAAAAATATAAAACTCACCAGAAAAAACACTAGCAAAGTTAGGACCTCCGTATTGAGCTAAAACTCCCCAACCATAGGCAGAAGCTTGTCTAATTTCAGGATAAGTGCTTTGCACTCCATTGCCTAACAAAGGAATGAAAAAATCTTTATATTTTTCACATCCGGGTCCACCGTGTTCAATCACGTCATCCATAACGCAAATAGCCCAATGTTGTTCTGTCCATGCTCTATCACTTCCCTAATGAAAAAAATTAACCAGTTAAAAGATCGCTGAGAATAGTGGGAAGGAATGTGAAGAACTTACCGCTAACTTAACAAAATGATGCACAATTGCATCGAAATATCGCAAGAAATAGTCTTTACAGACAGAGAAACAAGCATGTAAAACATCTGCTACTTTGCTTAGAATGAAAACGTCTTCGTCATCCTAAGAATTAAAATTATAAAAATTATAAGAAATTTTCTCCAAATTAATGTTTCATCAGGAAATTTACCTCTTCTACAAGAGTCTCCTCAACTCCTTCATCATAATCTTCATCTTTTCTTTTTTCGGAACGTTCTTCACATCGTTCGAAGTATTGTTTCAAATGCTCATCAAGAACTTTCACAATAGCTTCCAATTGGTCATCTGATAAAAATTCTCGTCCAAGATCAGTAATACACTATTGAAAAAGACAAAAATTAAATTTTAGAGATATGAAGCTGGTTAGTTAAATGACAGCTAACATAGTTTAATGAATATACTTACAGTATCAAGGGATGCCATAAGCTCGGACAAAACTTCTCTTTCTGGTTCAGTTTCTATGGCATGCATTAATTCAGGGAAAATGTATTTCCACATACCGTTAACGTACTCTTTACCACGAGCTTTGGCACTTTCCAAAAGGTAAGGTAAAATTTCAGCGGCTGCTGTTCGAACACCATCATGGAAGATAAATTTGAGTTCGGGAACCACAACTTTAACAACATCTTCAACGTAATTGGCGAAATTTTGTTTCAATTCTCGCGCATAACAGACTAACATTTGGAGAGCTGTAGCTTTATCTTCCAAGCCACTTGTTTTTATTCCCACCTGTGACTGCAAAGCGTTATAAAAGTTCAATTTTCAAAATTAAAAAAAGTTAGAAAAACTGAAATCAAGAAAAGGAAATGAAACTTATATCAACAGGAAAGCTATGCTCGAAGACTTTCAAATTGAATGAAATAATTATCAACAATAATTTTTTCATTGAACTTTTTAATCATTTCAATTCATGATTTTCCTATCAAGCATCCTACCATAAGTATAAGTTGAGTTATCATTTCATCTTATGATTGCTGTTTCTTCAGAATGATATTCACGTAAAATTTGAAAATATCGAATGGTCGGATATTTTAATAAACAAAACAAACCTGATCAATAGTTAGGCGACTCCAATCTTTTTCAACAATAGTATCTTCATCATCCAAAAGGTGCATTTGAATTTGGTATGAAGCAGCTTTTAGAACCGGCGGCATAACATAGGGAAGATAAGGTTCGAACTGAGAACCAAGGATTTTACAGATTCGAGCCCAAGCGGATATCATGTATGCGAGTTGTGGATCGTCCTCAGCTAATTGTTCTTCTCCAGTTTGTGTTCGAAGTAACATGTCCATAACTTCACTAGCATCAGCACAAAAACGGTCTCTTCCAACAGCTAATCCAATTAAACTTATACACTCAATGGCTTTTCCCCTAAGAATTTTTAATTCATCGGTGGTTGCCATCTTTATAATTGCTTTAAGGCATGGCACAAATTTATCATAGTATCTTTCAAAATACTCTTGAGCTGAATCAGCAAGTGAAGCAAGTGTAACAACGGCTTGTTCAAGAACAAGTTTGGTTCCTTTACTCATCAATTCATTAATCTTCATATTGATCAGACCTTCTAATTTAGCTGCTGATTGTTCTAGGTAAATTGCAACAATCTTTGGTGGACATTCCTCGAAAAAGTTAACTAATGCAGCACCGGCATGAGCTTGGACTCTTGGGTTCATCTGATCGTCTAAAAGTGTTAATAAGCTGGGAACTACTACATTATGGAACTTTTCTTGGAAATCAGGAGCAAAGTCACTCGCCATTTGACCAAGAGCATTACAAGCAGCATAACGGACGCGAGGATGTGCATCAGACAAGAAAGGAAGAATTCCAGAAACAATTTTAGGCAACATAGGCAACATTTGATCATGACAGCCTTCTCCAACCGCTGAAACAGCCATCATAGCTGCAAAACGATGACGCCAATCAGGATTTTGAAGCATAGTAGAAATATTTTCAAGAACGAGAGGTAATATGGTTTTGCCACCAATAGAGCAAGCCAATCGATCTAGCGATGTTTCGCCAATAACGTGATTGCTGAATTGGTATGAAAATAGTTAAAAATACAACAATGAAAAAATCCTTCTGTTTAAACATCAAACCTCTCAAAATTTGCATAGAAAGAGACAAAAGAGCAACGTCAAAGAAAGAGACGAGTCTCCTCCTTTTTAAAGAGATTTTTGGTTGCGCCATCTGCGACCGATTGGCCCGTTACTGCAACTTTTGAGAGGTTTGACTGTAGTTAAATAGATAAAAAATTCACCTTTCAAAATCATCATCTTCTATGACATCCACATTTCCCCATTCAGGATCTTCTTCAATAGTTGTCATCATTAGCAATAGATGCGAGACTATCGATGTTAAATAGAAATTGAAACATTGTTAGAATCATAATGAACACAGTAAGAGCTAATAAGCATTAATTTCCTCTCATGATAAGAGAAATGGGAAGAGCAAATTACCTAGTTGGCCCAAATAAGGAGTTCCGCGTTTCCTTATTGTCTGTGGAGCGTTCTCGGCTAATGAAATCACAATTTCAATACAGAGATGTTTACGAGTATCCATAATATCCGCTCCTCTTAAGGCTTCGAGACAGAGTTGGATGAGATCTTCAGTTCGAGCTCTCAAAAATTGAGGACACTTTTCAGCAATATCAGTCACTGCTTTAAGGATAGTATCACAGTGTTCTCCGTCCAAGGAGATTGTTGAGACGATTAAATGTATCATGGGTACAGCACAGTCGGAAAGATGCTGGGTTACTTTTTTATTATTTTCATGGTGCAAAATAAACGCAGAAGTTGCTTTGACAGCAGCGGTCCGAATCTGAGAACATAAAATAACCCGTAAAATGTTAGATTGAATTTTTAAACTTCAGGGGAATTAAACATACGTCTAAATTTAAATTATTGTCCGTCAAACAGTGGTATAACATTTGTCGAATAACTTCTAGATATCGTTCTAATTCATTTCCAAATATCCCTGGAACCAGCCTGAAATAAAATCAAATGGTCAAGTTACTGGCTGAAATGTAGTTACTCAGGGTGAAAAGAACGCGGGAAATAAAGTAAGAGACTAAAAAATGAGATGATAAACAAAGCTGGACTCTCAAAAAGGTTATTAGAAAGGTTGCGGTGAGTAAAATTTCAAAAAGGGTCAAAGTTAACATAAGGGAAAAAACTTACGACAACAGGTTCAAGGCACATTCTTTTAAAACTAGGTCTTGTGAATTAACACATTCAAACATGTATTTCAATAATTCTGGCCAATGATTCTGATTTCTTTCGTCTGTATAGAGAAACATTAAATGATAATGATTAATTTCCCCATGAGTTTATGACTATCCATGCTATAATTACATACCTATTAGCCTTTTAGCCAATTCAGCTGCAACTTCACACATTTTTTTCAGTAAACTAGCATCCTGTGGATTTTTTAAGAGGAGTAAAATTTGATTTTTAATCTGCTCAAGAATTTCAGGTGTCATAACTTCCTCGATAGTATCGTAGTTGGCGAAAAACATTCGTCTCAATAATACAGCACATAATTGAGAAACCTAAAAAAGGAAACATACACGAGTTTAGAATTTTGTATAATAAACCAAAGAGAACAAAATTAGGCGTTTGTTATCTTACCTCTCTAGCCATAGTCTTTTCAGATATGATTTGAAGAAGAAATTCAATCTTGTTGAGAACCGGAACTTTCTCATATTTATCCTATAACGAGATAAAATCAAAATTAAATTAATAAGTTGTTAATGGGAAGAACCATAAAAAAAGTTTACCTCGGCATCCGTACGAATGTCATTATTTTCATTTAAGCAGTTGATTACAATCAACTGAAAATCATTATATTTCACAGGTAAATTCATGGTGTCAGAAGAAGTATCACTTTCACTGTCAAATAAATTGTTAAATTTGAAATAAAATGGTTAATCAAGGCAAAACAAGAAAGGCGACAACAATACAATTATCACACAAACACGTTGCTTTGATCCAGCAAACCAAGCTACAGTAACAAGCTTTACTCTTTGCTCCACCCACAACACTAGAATCTCCCCCTTCTAGTAGCTTCCCTTTCTTGTTGCTTAAAACCAACAATTAGAAAAACTAAATTAATCCCACAAGAATAATACAACAAGTTAATCAAAGAACAGTCTAATCAATGATATCAGACAATACTTAAATTCTTACAATTTAAATCAATATATTTTAACCGGATTTGCATTTCGTCACATGAAATCAATACGCCGCATGAAATCCAGTGACATCTATTGATTCCAGTAGATAAGTCAACTTATTGGGTAAATTTAAGCGGGTAAATACTAAAACAGTTTCGCTATTTTATAATACATTTTTGATATCGCTTTAAACTTGAGCTTTTACTGATCTAATGCTGAAAATTGTGAATGAGAAATAATTTCTACTTAAATTCCAAGTTTTTATCATCAATAAACTCAGGGAAATAAATCATCAAAAGCTATCACCCAGTAGATGACGCTACTCTTATCATTTTTTCGGTTTTTATCAAGCGACCGAAAAATCAACTTTAAAAATTTAATTCTTTATATCTTATGATTCTCATTAACTGACTGTTGTATTTTTCAAATGTTGTTTAGAGTTGAATAATTGGTGCCTGAGTTTCTGCAAACAAATTATCGACCAAAATCTTGTACAAATAGGTAATAATCATTGCTTGATTGTGAAAATTTTAACAAATGCGAATTTCAAATTCAATTTGAATCTTTGTTTTTTTCCAGCTAAAAGACTTGTGTTTTGATTTAGATACCAGCCATTAATTTGACTCTTAATCGACCTACAGGTTGGAAAATGACCTTTTCAGTAATGAATCAATCTGGAAAGGAAAGTTGATGCCTGGTGCGAGAAATTTGCTATTTAATAGATTGGAAATTCAAGTCCTCTACTCACAGCAATCTCCTTTGGATGCACTCAAAGTCATTAATAGTCGATATTTCTTGGCTAATTCGGTGTACTCACACTTGCTGCTTCATATTGAACGTGTTTGCCTATTTTTTGATGAATATTTCAAATTTTAGTCGAGGGTTACTCCTGATGAAATTAGAGGAAAGAGTGTATGGCGTTATATCCACAATTGGCTGAAAATTGGCAAGAATCTTGATTCAAGATTTTATATCAAATGACATCTAAATTGTCACCTGATTTCCTGACCATCGACCTTTAATCGTTCATTTGATGACGAACATGGTTAAATTAGCTTAACAGATGATGACTAAAATACTGTTAAAGATTACCTCTTCTTAATCTGGTCCACTAATCAAAATCTGACAAAGACAGAAGTTTTAAATGTAGATTCAAGGTTTTATGGTCAATTAACCGAACCAGATTAACAGAATTATTAATGTTCAGATCATATATCATTAATAAGATTGATTAACAAGCTGATTGTCTTGGCCGATTGCTGATGTTGCACTTATAAAGTCAAAAAATGCACCGATTGCCTGTTCATTGCCATTCATTCAGTTTATCTGATTAAGGCTTGAGCTTCTCATTTCATCTTAAAATACGAGTTATTAAACACCAATCAAAGAGTAATAGAGAGTAGTTACAACTCTTTGACACTAATCAGCTAACTAATTGATTAAAAGTTTCAATTACAGTCGATAAAGGTAAACAATAGTAACCTCATCATTCACCAAAATAGAGTAAACTCAATGTCAAACTAAATCCATGACTGGGAAACATCACTCATGTGGATATCAACATTTGGTTTTTCAAGTCTATTCAGAATATTCAAAACTATAATTATTAACCCGATTAAGCCCAAGTAATTCAAGTTAACCCAAGACAAAGCCAAGGATTTCAGTGTTACTAAAGTGTTGTAAAGAAAGTAAAAAGCAAAGATGGATTTGATATAATTTGGATTTTATTAACGATCTTCAAAACATTGAGATTCAAAGATTCAAATTGTTTGACAATTGAAAGGAAAGTTGCATTATTTTTCGTGGTTGGTGATTTTGGTTTCTTATTTATCGTTGGCATCACATATTTATACATTTAGTTTTTTTATGAATAATATAACAAATAATCGGAAATGTTTCACTCCCGATCCTATCAAGTTGCAGTACAGAAGGAGTTGAATCGGATGGTTTTTGTTTTGGCGAACAAAATGTGTAAATGGAAAAAAGCTGTCCATAATCAGCCAGTTGAATGAAAAAGAAGACCAGCAAAAAATTTGAAAATCCGATCTAATTCAGACCAGAGTTAGACCAGATTGGAATCAGATTGGAATCAGAAAGGTACAAAGTGGACAAAGGAATGGTGTTGTGGAGATTTTTGAGGTCGTTTTGTGAGTGTATTTTGGTCAACGCTAACTGCGTCTTTAAATAACCATACTGTCTTTGCAAGAAAGTGAATTAAGATGAACAGCAAAAATCTATTTTTCATTTTTTATAATAAATGGTGCCTTTCAATAACCATAGAGATTGATGATTATAATCAAGACAACGTGTAACCATTATAAACATGATTTGAAGTGAACAAGTAAATGAGGTACGAAAAAACAAAACAAAAATTCATGTGAGTCAAATTTTGACGCTAATCAGGCAAAGTCAGCTTCTTACTGAAGCTTCAATTTACCATCTTTTCTCGTCTTTTTTTTGCATTTCAAGTTGCCATTTGCAATTACATTAATTTAGATCTATTTAAATTTGCAAATGGCAACCGATTTCAATCTCTAACTTGATGTTTTTGCTCAATTTTTGATCTCAAAATTTGTGATTTATTTCTCTTTGATTATTGAATATTTTGAAAGATTTCTGTTTTGTTGATGAATTGCTTAGTTTTGAGGCTTTAGTGGTCAACTTAAAAGGTTTAACTTGGCCAACATCACAATTTTTATAAATGACTTTCAGGACTCAATTTTCCTGATTCATATTTGCAGGTTGCATCCGCTTTCTTGGGTTCATTTGGTACAAGTAAATCACGATACAATTCCGATTGAAGGAATCTCAGGTAAGCATCTTGTTCCAACATGCCTTGAATTTTACGCTGAGCAATATCAAATGTACCCTCTTCTGGTGCTGTTAAACTTTGAAATATATTTGTCCTTAAATTAGGATCCAAATTAATCTATTGAAATAAGCAAAAGTAAACAAGAAAATTGTTGATTAGAAACAAAAATTGTTAAAATGGTTATAAGTTTATATTTAAACATTTAGTTGAATCTTTGAGCTGAACATTTAAGTCTTCAGTAGAGATTGGTTTGAAATTTTGCATTCATTTCAATATCCAAATGAAATGTAAAATTTTAAAAGGGATTCTCAATAAGCTAAAGATTCACTTTTCTGCTCTAAATAATTCTTATGTTTTAAAATGAAAACATTGAGATTTTATTAAATCAGATTGTCAATTTACCTCTTTGGGTGATTTAACAGCAACAAAATCGTCGTAAATTTTTCGAGCCTTTGAAGGCATTTTAGCTGGTCGTACTTTCTTGAACTCTTCACAGGCAATCCAGAATTCAATATTTTCTTGACTGTACTCTCTGGCTAGAAAGGCTTTAAACAAGGTTGCTCCATCTAAAAGTAAGAAAATGAATTGTCAGTCAGTTATATTTGGTTAAGAAAACTCTTCATTTGAATGGTTATTTAAATTCAACTTACATTTATTTCTCATGAGTAGATGAAAAGATTCTGACCATTTTGAAGCCTCTTCTGGTGTCGGTCTAACATTGGTAGACTGAATTGATGAATCAGTGTGACGACGGCGTAAGAATCTTAAACGTTGTTTCATGTCTTCCAAAGCTCTGAGAATTAAAAAGAAGATCAAAATTAGTTTCCATTGAGCAATTTCATCAAAAATTAAACCCAAAACCCCAAAAATGAAAAAAAAACTATTCTATCCTTTCAACCAGAAATTAGGTTTAAACTAAATCTGTACAAACTCTCATTTTAATCAAACCAACATAAACTTCAATCCATTAAATCTTGAGTTAACATTTAAAATCCTCCCAATGAGTTAATCAACAAAATACTTACGGAGCTTGCTTGCGACCTCTTCGTTTATCACCCATTTCCCCTTCAGTTGTTGGTGCTGATGTTGCATGATGTTTCTGTTGTGAAAGAAAAAGATTTGTAAGATTAAATTATAACAAAAAATTTTAACTCCAAGTAAACAGTTTATCAAGGTTTTCATGGTTTACCAGTTTTTCACTTATTTTATGCAAAAGACAAAAGTTTGAATAACGAAACCTGAGTAAATGTAAAAAGCTTGTAAGTTTAAAATTAAGTTTCCCTTTCCGATCAGTGATAAAACATGAACAATCAAAATTAACAGTCAAATTGTAATTCTCAAGAGAAAAGATCTAAATTTTTACACCTAATCATCATTTACAGATCATTAACAGTTTCAACCTACACCATTAACCTGTTAAGTGGTCAAAGCCATTTACACGGTGAAACAAGATACAAGAATGATGAAAATTGGCAAGAGTTGAAAAAAAGCAAAATTAACTAATTGACTAATCAACCGAAGATAAATAGGTTTATTGATAAGTGCATTGACTGGTTCGTTAACTTGATAGAGAGTAAACTGTTGACTAAGAATATCAGTGAAAGTCAAAGAAGGTGAAAAATGTATAGACTTACCATTGGCTTTTCTCGAAGGAAAAGTGCATGAGAAGGAACATCTTTTGAACATCCAGCGGAATGAGTTCGCCTGAGTAGACGAGCAAGTCGACCTGGACCAGAGAGTACAACATTGGCCATTGAAGCTTTACGTTTCTCTGATGTACTTGGAGATTGACTGGTTGAAGGTTGACTTGTTATCGGTATTGATACACCTGCAGTTGAAGGTGAACCCGTTAAAGGTTCACTTGGGTTAACTTGTTTACCGGTTACTCGTGAGGCTGACGGACTGCTGGTTGAAGTGTTTTTATCTCGCCTGTATTTACCCGTAAATATCATTTTGGGTGAAACACTTCGAGTTCCTGGAGTCAGAGTAACCTTATCACTAAACATTAAATCATCATGTATTTGATCGGAGCTTAAACTGCCAGAGATTTTTCTCTTCACCAAAGATCCAGGATCCAAAAGTAAACCTGCCTTGTAACCTTTTCCGGCTTCCAGTGAGGAATCGGAAGACATTGGCTTGGCTTCATCTTGTCCCAAGCAAGTCCCTGTTGATCCAGATACTGTCTCGGAAAGATGATGATAAGAAGGATGAGAAGAATGATGATATTGGTGACCCATTCTTGAGCCACCTCCCATGGCACCACCCAGGTTGACGCTGGTAACTCCGGTGTCCGAAGAGGAACCAGTAATGTCCGGATGAAGAAGTAAACTATCAGCAGAAACTGTACATTTACGGGTAAATTCAAGTTCAACACCCGAAGAGCTGCATGATGAGCCAATTGATTGATCGTCGAAAGGTCGAGAGAAAAATTGTCTAAAAAATATAAATTAAATGAAAACAATAGACACCAATTAGAACCCAAATTTAAAACAAAACCAGAAAATAATATAAATCTTTCAATTACTTGTTTCTTTCCTTCTCTTCACGCGTAAAACCTAAAAACCTGTGTGTGTCTTTTACCCAAAAAAAGGTAACAATGTTGATTTAAACAGTCTTTATATGTTGTCTCTACTGTTCATCTGAACAAATTAAATGATAATCAGTACAATTTACAAATAAAAGGAAACTTGAATAGTTTGGGTTGTAATAAGGGAAACCCAATGATAAGGAAACATTAATATGAACAAAAATTGGGTTTACACATTAATGTTACAATGAAGAGAGGTTTGAACATTTTGCATTTCAATGGTTTTAAAGTATACAAATTTAACGTTTAAATGACTATAAAAAGCTGAACCCATTCATTAATTGATTATAATACTAAATTGTGATCAACTAATTGTTACTAAACACATGAAAAGAAATGGAACGTAAAAACTAAGATTTCCTCCCAATACAAAATTAACTCCAAAAGAATCAAATAAAGGATGAAAAAGTTAAAAAAATATGAATTTTTCTTCTTCATAATCATTCTTTTACATTAATCTCATTTTATCATCTTAATGAGTCAATGATGTGGATGATGATGAAGGTAAGAAAGTTAAGATGACAAAAATGGACTAAAAGCAACTTTATTGTTAAACCTTTTGTCAATTTACAATAAATGAAAGCTTTGAAATTTAATCTTCAACATTTTCATGGTTTCACTCATCATTTTGACATTTATTTTACACCTTTGCAAACCCCTTTTCATCATCTTCATCCAAACCAAATAAAACCTACAAATGAATCACTTGATTTTTGTCATTATTTAATCTGTGCACCTAAAAGCCAACGAAGAAATGATTTAAATTAAACAAATTCACTCCTCAACATTAATAATTGTACTCAACATTGAATATTTACTCTTATTCCTATCTTTACCTTTGCCTTAGAGATATTAAAGTGAAAGGTTGCTTTAAAAAAAGTGTTCAAAGGATTGTAATTCAACTTATAAAGCCTAAAGCAAGTATCAAATTGATTATCAAATAATCAAGAAAAATTTTGATTCATTGACCTTTAACTAATATCTTTATTATTGAGGTGAAAAAACCTGGTTAACTTGAAATGATCATTTTGACAATAACGTTTGGTTCAGCAAAAAAATTGGGTTCAACAAAGATTCTTATTATAGACATTTTAAAGTCTAATTTCATTTTAAATTTTCCAGTTTCACCAAATTTCATCTTCTTTTTGATTCTGTTTATCAATTTTTCCCTGGAAACATTTTCATTGTCAATTCTTTTCAATCGGATGTGAAATGTTGCCAAAATTGCTCAAAATTCAGTTCACTGAACCTAATTTGTATCTAACTGATTTCAATGGTCAACCTTTTTCTGTGGTTTTTTTATTCTTAATTGTGCTTTTACAATTAGTTTTAGTGTCCAGTTCATTGGCATGCAACAAGTTGATTGCCAATTGATCAAGTAGATATTCAAGTAATTGAAAATCTTTTTTCTTCTTATTCTTTCACTTTTCATCCTTTTCTTGTCCATCTTTTTTTACATTAAATTAATGGAAATAAATGAAGCAAATGTAATGAAATGATGCTCATTCATTTGACTCCACTTCATGATCATTACTCAATGGTCTGATCAATGAATTTCTCGAGAGTTAATGACATGTATATTTGAGATTATTCAGTGTTCAGTCTCTTAATCACTCTCAACCATGTTATTGGTTATCATTTTTATTTCTGCAAACCTTTCAACTTCAACAACCCATTTCTCGACTTTTACTCTGGTTTAGTCAAATATTTCACTCAATTCTCAAGATGATTCTTCACCGTGATTTATATTCCGAGTAAATGACCTCGTTTCACCCTTAATTCATTCCTTATTTGCTAATCTTTTCATAAATAATAAGCTCTTGTACATGATAATTTCATCAGATTAATCTGCATCTGGAATATTTGTTTCATATTACAGTTAATCATTTACTAGCTCAGCTTGTTAATCGTCAATATTAACAGAAATGAAAAAACTTGATATTGAACTTTATTTGAATTTTGATGGAAAAGATGTTAAAGCGCCATCTATGATTATCAATATCAACTATTAAGAAAAGCTTAAATTTGATGGAATTAATCTTTTGCATTAAAATATTAGCGATTATTATTCTGGTCTATTGATTTTTATGGTAATGAAATAATTTAGTCTAATTAACACTTAATTGTTTGTTTTTTTTCAACAGATTTTTTGTGCGATGCTTTAGGTTTTACAGTTAGAAAGGTAAGATCAAGAAACTGTAGTTGAAAATCAATCGAAATGTATTTTTTTATATTAATGTTTTGTTTTACTTACAGAGATGTGCTTCCACTTGGAGACGGTGTGCTTAATGGAGAGGGACTTCGACTGGGTTCTGTTTTGCATTTTGGTGATGCGCTTTCTTCAATGGTTCCTTCGTCTGATCGATGTTCCAATTGCTGATGGCCCATAGATGAGGCTCGATGATGATGCTGTTGAGTATGGTGGCGAGGTGTATACTGCCGTAAACAGTGTTGATGAATGTGACTGTGTTCTGGTGAAGCGTCTCGGGAATGTTGTCCGTATCGGTGTACTTGGTGACGGTGATGATGGTGCTGGTGGGAAGTTGATGAAAGTAAATGGTGGGAGTGATGTGGATGAAACTTGAGCTCTTCTGGAACCGTCAATGATTGTTTCCTTCGACCACCAATGCTTTCACCAATATTTGGCTGATTACCCGGCAGATTGCTTTCAAGTGAAGCTGATATATTTTCACCAAGCTCGCTATTTTTACCTGTTCTCGTCTCCCAGCACTTATCTTTGGTATCGATATTGTTTTTATTACTAATATTATTGTCGCTGTTATTTTCCGGTTTTTTGCTATTTTTAGTGTTCGTGTTTTTAACGTTGTAGGCCTTCGTTTTATTATTGTTATAGACTTGTTCCGAGGAGAATGGTGGCAACTCGTCGCAAATTTGATGAAAATAGAGGGAAGCCGATTTTTTACCAGTTAAAGCGGAACAAGTGTCCTTGGAGGAACAAATTGACTCCTGGAAAGTGTTCAAAATAAGTGTTATCCACATTTCGATATTCTGTTGGACCAAGTTCGTTGAATTGAGAAACTTTTCATTTGATGCAACCAGATTTGATTGAATTGATCGTGTTTTTTTTCTTTTGAAAGGTAACTTTAACTCGATGATTCACATAAATCAACAATTATTAAAATTTTACTTTTTCTTTCAAACAAATATTAGATGTAACGGCAATTGGGAAAAGATGATTTCTTTACTTGACAACTTTTGCAAGATTACAATTTAAGGAGGAATTTCAATTTTCAATTTCAAGAGAAAAAAAGGAATACAATTAGGAAGGCAAATGTTTCGGTTTGGAGTGAACTAAGAAAGTTTGACAGAAGGTTCACTTATTTATATGGATTTCAAATCTGGATTCGGTAAAGAGCAAACTCACAAGGAGAATAGGAAAAAGACAGAAGAAGGTGTGAAAAAGAGAGAAGATGATAAATGCTTACGTCAAAGGAAAACCTCAATCTAAACTCCCAGGATCGCACTGGAATAACGTTCAAGGCAACTCAAGAAGAAAGGAAAAATTTGGGAGAAGAAGAAAGACAAAGGCTGAAGGCTAAAGGCTCAAGTTGAAAGAGTTTCCAGAAAGATAATTCAGAACAAAGTTCCTGGAGAAAGTAAGAACCAGATGATGGATCAATAGTACATGGTGTTTGGATGCTGGGAAAAACCTAGGATTTTTGGGAGACAAAATTGAGGCAAAAGAAAGAGATTCAAAGTTGGAAGGATATTTTTAGAAACTATGACCTCCTATCCTTTGCCATTTGTACAAGAAGTGTACCCAAGAATACTATTGTTTCCCCTTTTTCAGCCTCTCTTCTCACCTTAATTTGCTGATGGAAAGACATGGAGAAGGTGATTGCTGTGAACCCTTTCCATGATAAAATATTTACCATTTCTTCATCTTGGCGCATGAACTTAGATTTACTATTACCTTGACCGGATTGCCTTTGGCAAGGTAAAGGTAAACCTAAACTGGTTACATTATATCAGTGAATTTGATAATTTTGCAAATTAATCAGATTTTCTCTATAAAATTAATTCTCAGATTGCTGATGTAAGGGAAAAGAGGAAAGAGTAGGCTAGTAAGAAATAGCAGAAAGAGAAAGATGATTCTGGTGAAGGAATAAAAAAAGAGGTTGAATGAAAAGGAGGTCACCAGCGTATTAAAACAGGGAAGGAGTTTGAATGCAATGAAGACGAAGCAAATCAAGGTGGAGCTCAACATGAAATAATAATAGTATTATTAAAAAAATAATATTATTACATGAGGCTAAAAATAGATTTTCATTCCTTCTCAAATTTATTATCATGGTTAGTAGTACAAGAGATTGCCTTTGTGCACCAAAAATTGTGAATGAATACATATATATGGCAACCTTTCATCCTTTACCTCCAAGCTCCTCCTTTTAACCCTGTTTTACCCAAAATCCTAATAATACTACAATGTCCTTGTCTCATGTTGAAAAGATAATAAGACTGACAAGATGATTCTCATTGATTAATGCTAAATTTGGATTTGATTTTTTTTCTGCTCTTCATGTTCTCTTCAAAATTGATCCCAAAAAAATTTTACACTTTCTATTCAATTTCGTTTCTCTAACCATTTTCATACCTTTTTTTACCTTTTTTTGCACTAAAGAAATACAAATTTAATCCAAAAGCAAAGTCTATTATTATCGATATTCATCATTTCACTGTTCCTGGAACTTGATTGTTCAGCAAATCCTTTTGTTACCCACTTTTGGCCACTTCAACGTGCAACTCAAGTAAATAACTCTGATGGTGACTATTCATTATGAAAACCTTTTCATTGGCCAAACCAAGCGTCATCACTCTGCCTTTCAACAACATTTCAAGTTTACCTGAAAAAATGTGACAAATTTCTCTAAATATTGATAATAATAGATTACAAGCCATTCATTTGACCTACATTTCAACTCGCAAATTGGTAACAATTTACTAATCAGCACGAAAAAAGTCACAGAGAGAAAATTCGCTGTCAAATTATATCGCTATGTGGCATGATTGAACACTTTCAATCACCAAAAGACAAAATGTCCAAAATGACTGGGAAAAAAGTCTAGATCAACTAAATGAAGTTGCTTGAAAAAGGATCAGATAACTACTTTGGAAAAAAAGATTTGAAAAAACCTTTGAAATTCAACTCCAATTAAATTAAACATTTTTGCTTTTCTTACCTGTTCCCTACAAAAGCCATCAGCTAACAATTTTGCAGTTAAAACTACCAGTTAATCATTTCCAATTAAATTTAACTCTAAATCAACCCTGCAAACATCAAATAACAATGATTCAAAAATAGATTCTCTAATGGTTAGACAGAAACAAAATGCGGTCAAAATTGATTTTTTAAAATGAGCTAAAAATAGCAACACCAAATTGGCCTTCCTAATCAAGTCCACTTTCAATCTTGGATTAAATTGATCAAAATTTAATTCAAATTATCAAACTAAACTAAACTTAGTTTTTCACCAAATGGCATTCATTTGGCATTAACAGTAAATGTCAATGAAACTCAATTTTTTCTCGTTTCCCTTGTAATTGAAGAGATATTAATTTCCAGGAAACTCAGTTAATAGGAAGATGATTAGGATAAAGAGGAAAATTACGGAACTGATGAAAAATATGATTCAAACAATATAATTTTGAATGGTTCGAATAAACATCTCAAGATGATGAATCTTTTGCATTACCATTACAATGGTAAACCTATTATTAATACAAGATATAAATGTTATCCAACATTGGATTAACAATCAAAATTTTCTCAGTGAAACAATAATTGTCGTTAATTCATTAAATCACGATTCAAAAAAATGAAAAGCTTTAATCGTAACAACACAAAGTACGTCATTGGATTATTAAATGAATACAAATTTACAATTCGTAAAGTTGCACGCAAAAAATGTTAATATAAATGTACATTAACAGGGAAACGGAATTGCATGATTGAAATGTTTAACAATCAATGACGTGATCATAAAAAAACAATCAACTTACAGTTAACTTTATCAATTGTTGAATATATATATTTTCAAGTGATTATCCCAAATCTGAACAAATATTGACTCAATCTGATCACCAATTGATTTACTGTCTACATTTAACACGAAAACAGCTAAAATTAATCAACACATTGACAGTCAAAAACTATTAATCAACAATGCAATACAATTAACATTTGGGACAATCAAAAAATGGAAAATTTCAGCATAAATTGCCAGATAATTAGCAAAATTAAAATCACTAAATCACTAAAAAATGCCTTTCAATCAACTGAAGCGATCAAAGCCACTTGTAAACCCAAAAAATTGTCTTAAACCCGTTTCTCCTCAACTCTCTGGTCAACTCTCAACCTTAAAAGGTAACAATTATTTTTGGGTTATCATCACTTCAATCAACTTCAGTGACAATCGAATCATCTCTTATTATCAACAATAATTATGATCAATGTGAATCAACAACAATCAATTAACCATTTGCTTTTCCTCATCGAAATCAATTCGAGTGATTTTTCTTTTCCTTTTCTTTTATTTCTTATTGAATTGAATTTAAATTTAAAAGTAACATTTATCATCACCAGCCAGCTGTTCAACTTTGATTCCCAAAATATCTTCCTCTTAACAGATCAATTTATATCAATGTTTGTCTTTAATAATTGTATTGAATATTTGCTGATTGTATATCATTTATATTAGAAGTTGAATGAAAATATTGAATTTACATGAATGTTTGCTAATTGCAAGTTCACCCAATTTTTGTTGATTATTAATTTACTTTTTTTAATAGTTGACGTTTCCATTGAAGATAATGATAAATGAAATGTATTATATATTGAGATAGACGTAATAGCAGCTATTTTTAGCAACTTATTTGAGGTCAGGTCAAAAGGATTGGGTAATGTGTTTAAGTGAATGAAACAGAGGATTTGGCCTAATTTCATGAGCAACTAAAAGAATCAGAATGATGATAAAAGTAAGGAGAAACTTTTTTTTCGTTGCTTTCGAGTAAATAAAGTCTCAATGAATACTCTCTTTTCATTCATGTTAACACGAGACTCACTCCATGTTCATCATCAACTCTTCCTGGTTCAAAGTTTGCCTCTTCTGCTTCACAATCAATTCATCTTAACCAATATCGATTCAAGGAATGACCTGAATACACAGTTTCCACTCTTCATTCTTCCTTTTTTTCAGGTCACCTATTTTTAGCATCACACAGCAACCATTATTCTTGCTATTTCAACTCCCTTTTTCCTGGTTTTTTTTAAATTATATCAGTCTTGTGATATAAATATCATGATGATTGAAGAGCTTCAATGAGATTTAAGTAACATGAAGGAGAGACGGAAAGCAATCAATTGTAAGTGATACAAAGTCCTGTGCAACTGGAAAAACTTGTCAGCAATAACATGGTAAACTGATGACTGAAAAAAGGAGGTTAAGTGAGATTCGCCTTCTTCCCTGCACACTTGGAGTGAGACTTGGAGTTTAACTGGGAGTTTAAAGTTATGAATGAAAGTCAACTGAATGAGGTCAGTCAATAGAAGGCGCTCAACTTTACGTTAATCATTATTATTACATTACTACTATGGAATCAGTCAAGGATGATGCGTTTATTGTCAGTAATGATGAGCGTCAAAGGCACACGATATCTAGGACAATTGTTTTACCCAATTTTGATAGAAATTTTCACTTTTCTTCTCTTCTTCTTTCGTTCAAGTAAACTTTATTAATAACTTTCAAGTCAACAAATCGAGTTAACTTGACCCAATTTATCTCTTTCATGATGCTCTGAAAATAACATGGAAAGAAGAAGAAAATTAAAGAAGCACAAAAATCTATTAAAAATACGTAAAGGTTAACCTTGTCCTGTTAATTCAATCAAATTAGCAATCAAGTCCCAATTGGTATAACCATTGAAACGAGTTGATTAAAAACATGTAAATATAATTAGATTGATCAAGAGTCATTTAATTATACAATTTTTTACAACTTTCACTCAATCCAGGTCAATAGTTTTACGTTTCATCAATTGTAAGTTTGTAAATGATATCCTTTGTAAATTATAAAGTTAAGCTTCGATAATTTAATGAATTGATTCAGAAAAATTCTTATATTCCCAAATGAGTGGGTAATTCGTTTGATTTTCATGATTAAAAGGAAATCAATGCTAATACATTTAAAAGGGATTTGCCATATTGGATGTCCTTTTGATCTTACATCTAATAACAAATAATAACTAAAGGTTAGTGCAAAAGTAATGGGAAAATTCATTTTGATTATGAAAGTATTATAGTAGGGAATTTTGAGTTCTGGGACAGGGTTAGTTAGGTGATTACTAGGACAAATAAAACAAACAAAAGGTACAAAATGAAATTTATTTATGTGAATGTGATTTAAATGAAAAAGATTACATGAATTATACTTTATAGGGATACAGATGAAATCGGAAATTCTTGTCGCGGAATTCCAATAGCCTTATTTAGCTCAGTGTCAATATATCAAATATATTATTGTTAATCTACAGGGCTATTCAGCTACTTAGTAAGATGTTGAACGCCAATAACTTTGCAACCAGGCATAACTTTGACCTGGGAATCGAATGCAGTGAGTTTGGGGGACATTCATTTTTTATGTTTCAAGGACAAGGTCATTCAAGGTCATTTTTCGGAAATCGCTGCTGCTCATGTTAGAGGTCATTCTGAGGGCCGAACATCATTTTCGAAGACTTAAAATCTTCCTGATCAAGTTTCGACACTCTGTGATGAACGCTGCTTGAGTTATTGACATTTAAGTTTCAAAACTGCGTTAATTTACATTTTTATTTTTATGCTCATTGGGGGCGTAATCAAAACTTGAGTTCATTTTCCACTTTCCACTGTTCTCTTCCACATTTTAGCGATCCAGGTGACTGCTGAAAGCTCCAGGAGCGCTTTACACGAATGGAGTTAAGCAAGTTTATTTAACAAGGTTTTATTCAATTTTTACAACTAAGGATGAATTCTTTTTGCCTATTAGTTCCAATTTAGGGCTAATGAGCATAAAAAATTCGAGTTTTCTTAAAAATAAAAAATGTAAATTAACGCAGTTTTGAAACTTAAATGTCAATAACTCAAGCAGCGTTCATCACAGAGTGTCGAAACTTGATCAGGAAGATTTTAAGTCTTCGAAAATGATGTTCGGCCCTCAGAATGACCTCTAACATGAGCAGCAGCGATTTCCGAAAAATGACCTTGAATGACCTTGTCCTTGAAACATAAAAAATGAATGTCCCCCAAACTCACTGCATTCGATTCCCAGGTCAAAGTTATGCCTGGTTGCAAAGTTATTGGCGTTCAACATCTTACTAAGTAGCTGAATCGCCCTGTATTATTGCCGTTTGTGCGGACTCTATTATGTTTTTTTGAGAAATTTGATCCTCTTGTTGCCGGAAGATTTCCAACAACTCATCTATATCGCTGATCAAACTTTCTGCCTCAATAGTTAGCTCTGAATAGTTTGACTGCATTTCTGTAAGTTCAACTTTGAGATTACAAACCTCTATCTTAGCATTGATGGCTTGGTCTAGAAAGATGATCGAAAGCACGTAAAAATATAAGAATGATAAAAATAAGAATCTTTATGCTTCCGATAACCTACTTGTACACTAGAATCCATTCTGACAGTGAGGAACTAGTTCAGCCCTTTAGCTTAGTACTCTATGCTCTGATTAATTCATGGTCCTTATAAGACAATAAGTTGTCTTGCAAATTACACTTTGATTAATTAATAAAAATGATTTAAAACTCTTCGCTTCTCAAGTGTATGAGAAGTGATGTTGATTTTGATTACTGTATTATAACTTTTTGCTGCTTTGAAACCAAACCGTATTATTAGTACTCAATAAATGAAAACTCTAAATTAAATGAATTATCTGATCACCAAGTAATCAATCGCAACCAAACTTTATTATTGAAAGGAAAATGGCTGTTTTAAGTTAATTCCTAACGCCCATAAAAATCAGTTTTTGACTTCATGTTCATATTCGTTCTTGATTCTTTTAGCTGTAAAACTGCTTCGTTTTCAGCACCTTTAAATGCTGCCAGAACTCAAACCAGTTATACAGGATAATCATGGCCATCAGGACGATCTTCACTTTACTCAGCGAGTTGCAGAGTGGTTGGATATGAACCCTGTT